CTACTTAAGGGGGACTATACTCACAGGACAAGCTTCCAGAGATAGCAGGTGGATAGCCGTGCCCCAGCTTGCCTTTATCTACATGGGGCCGGTAAAGTGCTACCCTGCTATGCACAAAGCCTTGAGGGGAACAGGGTTTGGGAAAGGGGTCCAGTCGCCGCAAACTTGCCCTGCAGGAGCAAGTGATCTTTGCAAATGCCTCCCCAATCCTTCCCCGCAGACAAACCAAGGAAGGCGCATCTGCAGCAAACACTCCCCCAATCCAGCTGAGCGCCGCGCGTCCAAATCTCTGGCAAGGCTGCATTTGCAGTGTCTTGCGTGGCCATAGCTGCGAAGGCAACATTGACCGCTTGGCAAGCTTAAAAACAGCTGCGCTGCCTTTGTACTCCAAGATTTCACACCCGCCAGAACATCTTCGCCCACCACTCGCTGCATTCTTCTCATTCGCACCTCTGCAATATCCTACCAAAGAGAGCTCGGTGTACATGCGGGAACTGCTCTAGGACAAGCATGGGGTCCAAGCTGCAATCTTCTTCAATGCTCAAAAAGCTTAATTCTCACCTCTCTGATGTTGGGCCACGTCATGTTCTCAGCACCCTACTTGGGGCTTCTGCCCCACAACCCCCTAACAGCTCCGTCCGCTTCGCGGCTGAGCCGATCTGAGCCACACAGCACATGAGTCCAAATTGGATTTGGCCTTTCAATTGCTTCCTTGCAAAAATCATGAAACATCGGGAAAACCCCCGTGGCCGCATCAATAGCACTCACTTGCAGTAGTACAGTATTGACAGAACTCCTTCAGCTGGTTGTGCGAGTTGCGTGTGCCATCCCAAGCTTTCCGATATGGTCACGGCCACTGAGGCCGACAGGGACTGCATGAGGTTGAAACTGCACAAGATACGTGGAAGATGGCCATGTTGCAAATTCTTGCACTGGAGGGAATTTTCGTCGCACTTTACCAAAGCAAGGCCGGATTATGGGATGCACGGATGCCCCTACCTAAGGATTGGAAGGAAGTCATCATCCATAGTGGGCTGCTTCTGGCTCTTGCAAGGGTTGCCTTTCACACGCCTTTGAGTGGAGCCCCTGCTTGCTTTCCACCCTTGAAAGGGCCTTATGGGTTTGTTTCATTACAACCCTTCTGGTAGAAGCCAGCTCCATACTGCAATCACGAAATTCAAGTTGAACTATAAGACATTGAGGAATCTTCATATCCTGAAAGGCCGGGACGTCATCGAAGTCGTCCATGCCAACTATGTCCGTCACGATCTTTCTGACCTGCGCGCAACTCACCCCAAAAGAAAGATGTGTTACTTGTGCTCAGCTCGCCTAGACACAGCTGAACACACTTTTAATCCAATTGGAGGCAACCATGAATCCGATGATCCGATGAAGCCATGCAGCCATTCTGGATCTAAGGGAAGGACTACGTGCTTACAATGAAGTAAAGCCATGACAAAAAGCTGCAGCAGCTACCAAACAGATGTATGCGCTTCAGCACAAAGCAGTTCCCCTTAGTTATACCGAAGCGTGTTACGACCAAAGCTGCCTTAGAATTACAGAACAATTTACGTCAAAAGGCTCAGTTAGCAAGGATACAAGAAAAGTCCAAACAAAAACACTTGACAGCAATGATGATCGACTGAGTAATCTGAGCGCTCGCCTTTTTTCAGCAGCCACCTGGCCACAGAAGGCGCCCCTGGTGTTTGTTCCCGCCTGGTGCCGCGTCTTGTCGCCGTCCAAGCGGGGAACGCCTCCAGCAGAGCGGCGAGACACAGGTATTATCTCTCTGTGTAATTCTGGCTACATGCCCACCATGGCACTGAGAGTGAAGGCTCAACCTGTGCCAGCTGCACACGTCTGTCCGCAAAATGCACGCTTCTTCTGAGGTGAGGACGAACGGCTTCGCCCTGTGCAGCACAGCTCTTCAACGGAAGAGACTCATGCTTATGTAGATCTCTACATCCAGAGGACCCTCGCCGCTGGCCCATGCCACAAACCCACAGAGAACTGTTAAAGCTCGTGCAACACCCCTCCAAGAGTGTCACCAACAAATGCTGCGCGCTTCTTCTATCACAAGCTGCCACCCGGGTGTTGAACTGGGCCCCAGTATCTGAGTGCAAGCATGTTCTGCAATCCTGTTCCCTCAGGCACACAACAACGAAAGAACCGGGTGCCCTACTCCATGCACTCCATATCATTCCTACAGTCACTGCCCGAAGCCCTTGTATGAATACGACCCTTAAAACTCTTTGAAAAACATTTGTATAAAGGGTCCCCTAATAAAGACATTAGGGAAAAATATTGAAAGGAGCCTACCCAGTTGTATGACTACGAGAGGTATTCTGTTGCAGGAAGGCCTGCGAAGCGGCAGCGATCTCTGAGATGTCTGGAGCCTGATGGAGACGGCTGCACAAGGTTGCAAAGTCACGAAACTGCTACATTTGCTGTGGGCCTTGGGACCAGCACTTCAAGCAGGAGATATATGCACGTTTTCATTACTTTCATTAGCTGGTCTTCAGAAACCACAGTTTCAAAGGTCGCTACTACAACTTTCAGGACAGTTCTCAAGTTGGGGACCTGGGAATCTTCGAGGAAGTGCAGCTCGGATAGCCTCGGGGACCGCCCTGGCCACGAAGAAATCCGTCAGCGCGCTGACCCTGGGTAGGTGTGAGGCGATGAAGTTCTGGGATCTAGATCGACAACATATGCACCATGTTGGATTGATGCTGAAATTGATTCCTCAAAGTAGGCAGACGGGGGCCTGTCTGTAAAGGACTCGTTCAAGCTTTTTCCTGCCCACGGCGCAGACTGAAAGCTATGTTAGTCCTCTGCTGCAGAAGGCACAGTCGGTGTGGCAATTGCGCGGGTTGCGTAGGGATGGCTTTGCGGAAGCACAATACAGACTACAGAATGCTGGACCGTTCTAAGGACTTGAGCTGCCCTTTGACGGCTTCAACAAACCCTACGTGAGAAAGGCCTGCTGGCATTGCAAATTCAGGTTTGGAGGATACAGTTTGGGCCTTGTTTCGTCTCGCGTCTTTCGGATACTCGATTTTTACCGAAGGTCCTCATTGGCTGGTCCTTTCAAAAGGACTACTTCATATTTTTTGTAGCGTACAGAGAATCGCTTTGGCAAAAGCCTAATGGGTAATCAGATTCATGTATCTGAAGCACGTACAATCAAGGGTTGGCATAATACGTAGAGACTGACATGGAGCTTCTATACGCCCTGTATACCTGGCGGTCCGCATGTTAATAAGCTATAAGCTACAAGGGTTCCAACTAAGGGTCAACACTACAGTACCTACAAACCATAAATGCTTGTTAAGCGCCTGCGGCCTCAGCCGTGAATAGATGGCTATACATTGCCAAAAGGTGTACAGCAGATGCTGCTATACCGCGGCTATGCCATTTGGGGGGTCAGTTTAGGAGATCTGCCACAGCTTTGTAAATCACCTGCTGCCAGACCTCTCAGTGATGCATACAACCGGTAAACCTGCAGCCTGAGTCAGAGTCTAAGACCCTGCATCAGCCCTTTTGCATTTTGCATGCTCCATGGAAAGGCACTTAATGTTACCCCCAAACCGACTATCGGCATTCTGAAGTATAAATGCTGGAAGGGGCTATATAGAAACAGGAGAAGGGAATCGCAATCGCTGCATCAAGATATGCATGCAGATTGAGATGCACATGGCAGAAAGACTTCCGTTAAGGAGAAAAAAGTCAGAATTGCTGTCGGGAAGAAAATATATGTTCTCAACACTCATCATGTACAACTTACCATCCGCAAGTCCGATGTATGACTGAAGAACGATTTTCTCAGCATTTAGGCTCCCATATCGGATTCTCTGGCGTCCATAGCTTCAGTCAGCAAACGCTTGATGTCTTCCTTGCAGCTGCAGCTCGCTACATCAGCGTGGGAGCACGTGTCCAAGTCAGCACCAGCCGCCAGCAGGAGGCGTACGATCTCTACATGACCTTTGCTGCACGCGATGCATAGAGGAGTCTTCCTCCAGGGACCACTGCGCTTGTCTTTGTCGGCATCCGCATGAATCAGCAGGCGTGCAATTTCGACGTGGCCATGCTCCGATGCTAAGTAGATGGGTGTTTCATCATGTCGTCCGGCGCCCTTGTTTGAGTCTGCAGCAGCAGCAAGCAGAAGGCGCACAATCTCTGTATGACCTTCTCTGGATGCCACGCCCAGAGGGGTCTGGATAGACGTGACTTCGCTGCAAACCATGTGATTCTGATCACACTGATTGGGATCGCATTGAAAATATGTGAAGACAAATGCCTCATCTTTGTCGGCACCTGCATGCAACAGCAGCCTAACGACTCCAACATGACCCCTCAATGATGCCAGGTACAGCGGCGATGCTTCACGATCTCTACGGGCATTCTCCTCGTTTGACCCGGCTGCAAGCAACATCTGCACGATGGCCATGTGGCCCTCACGTGATGCCACTGCGAGAGGCGTTAATCTTGTCCAGCGCCCGCAGATCTCATCCTTGCTTGCCCCAGCCTCTAGCAGAAGCTGCACAATCTCAGCGTGGCCCCGTTCTGAGGCTGTATAGAGGGGTGTCTCCCCATTGCTCCCTCCCGTGAGATCTGGGTCCTGCGGCCTGGACAAGACTTCTTCCACTTTGGACACGAAATTATGCTTGACAGCAACTTGGAGCTCACTCACTTCCTCTGCAGTTGCGGAGGAGAAGTGCAGCAAAACCAGCTGCAAATCCATTGTGCACCCAATTTCCTTATCATTCTGTTATAGGAACAAAAGGTTCACCCATGGTGACATTCAGTAGGAATTGCCATCTGAGCCCTGGACTCAATTTGTAGTA